ACCATTATTGTTTTGCCATCCTTCTTCCACAGACAATGAATATCAGTGGATCCTTCAACGTTGACAGATAACTTAGCGAGTTCGCCAATTTTCACGGTCACTACGTCGGATATAGGCTTGAGGATAGGAGCACCTAAACAAGCAAAACCCTGAGTATAAGCTTGTAGAACGAGTAGTGATATTACCTCGTTTTCTCGTGGAATCCGCTACCAAAGTTTCTTCAGTTTCTTTGCCGGATTTCGGGGGTTTTGACGTTTCGGCTGTACCAGCAGCGCTGATAACAACGTCTTTCTCTTCATCCTTCTTGGCTGGCGCAATTTCTGACTGCTCCTGCTGTTTGGCATCTGTGTTCTCCTGCTGAATCGAAGCCCTACGCTCAACTTCTACTGGTTTTCGCTTTTTCAGTCTCTGTCTGGTGTCCAAAATCGCATCTACAGGACTGGCGTGCCTCGTTTTTATAGGTTTGCTAGCAGCTTCTTCTTTTTCCTGGTCGGCCTTTTCCTCGATTTTGTCCTCAGTTTTAGTCAGTACATCTTCTTGCTGACTCTTTGACTCTTTTGAACGTTTGTCTTCTACAGTTTTTCGAGTGGGAGTATCTTTATCCTTCTTTCCCTCGAAGACCAACGGAGTCGAGCTACTACTCGGTTCTGAAGACGAGTTCAGTCCTTTTGCCGTAATTCGATAGCTATATACACCATCGTCCATTATTGAACGGTCCGCGTAGTCAGCTCTAGTTACTATAGCAATTTCAAGCCAGTCTTCGCCTTCTTTACAGCGTTCGATTTTATAAAACGATGCTCCGTCTACAGTATCCCAACTCAAAGCCGCTTTGCCGTCGTCCACGCTAACAATTGGTGTGGATGGAGTTTCCAAAAGCGCCGTCTCAGTTGGAATTTCAATCTTTTCCTCCTGTTCCTCATCTTCATTCAACGTTGTGATTTCGATGTGTGTGCTGGCCGGTCCTTCTCCAACGCTATTGACAGCGATAACTCTAAATTCATAATCTTCACTTGAGAAAAGCTCGTTGGCTTCGAATGTAAGGGTCGTCTCGTTCGTTTTTCCAACTGTTCGCCATCTCGGATTGTCCAGAGTTCTGCGCTGGATTGCATATCCCGTTATGGGTGAGCCATTGGTGTCTTTAGGAGCTAGCCATGTCAACATGGTAGAGGTTGAAGTCGTATTACTGCTGGAAAGCTCAAGAGGTGCTGATGGAACATCAACAACACAAAGTTCGAAGTCTTTGTGAGATGTTCCACAAGCATTCTCAGCAGATATTTCGATAAATCCAGAATCAGCAAGGGTCAAATTTTTCATGCGAATTTTGGTAACGTCGTCGTCTACTTTTACAAGAGCTCGATCTTTTATTTGTGAATGGTTGTGTAGAATGCTGACGGTTGGGGATGGCTCTCCAGTAACGAAGACTTGAAAGTCGAGATCGGTGTGAGCCTTCAAGACAGCTTTATCTTCGAATCCTTCTCGAATCTCTATAGCAGGTGGTATTTGCAAACTGAGCTGAGCTGGTGCTGATATTTCATTTGAATTGAGAGCTGCGTGATAGCTTCCAACGTCGCTCTTTTCAAAGTTGAAGATTTGTAGCACTGAAGAGCACCCCTCGT